TGTGTGTGTGTGTGTGTGTATGTGTGTGTGTGTGTGTGAGTGTGAGTGTTTCCCGCTGCCTCTCTTTTTCTTGGTCTTAATTTCCACCCCTCTCTCTCTCTGCCTCCAAATTTTCTTTCCACTCTCTTTGAAAAGGATCTAAATTCCGAGAACACCCTCTTCTGGTGTTTGGCAGGGGATTTAGTATAGTCTGCTCCTTCTCCATCACCTCAGCTCAGAGTCGCGCTGTTGGCCTGGTATGCTTCCAGACTCTCGTGGTTGAATGGTCAGTAAGCATTTAGGCTGTCATTTATGTCAAGACAATGGTGTTGTGGGTGGTCACTGGGGTGTGTCATTAAGGATTAAGCATGGATCGATAGCCTTAACTCAAAATATGACCCTGCACAGAAGCTACCACAAGTAGTGTGTTCTTTGGCCACATGGATGGGCTAATCATAACTAATTTTATATGTACCTAAATATTTGTGCCTGTTTGGGTGTGAGCCATTGTAAACCGAATTTTCCTCCCGGGGATAAATAACACTCGATATTTATTTATGCCTTATAATTTCTATAGGCTGCTTTTGCATTTTCTTACCGTAAGGTAGTCATTTTAAAGTAATTTTTAGTCACTGGGTCATTCGCATCGTAGTAATCTACGTCTTAAGAAACAACATAAAGAGCGCAGGGGAACACATTTTTCTATTATTTCGACTTATTCATCCGAAACGGACTTGCCTCAGGTCTATTAATAGAATCTGGAATGCCTACATGATGTAAATAGATCATGGAGTACCACGTTGGCTTATAAATTGCGCTCTGTGCTGTATGGCGACAGCTGTTACGAGACACCTTCTCCTCTCCCAATTGAGAGAGAGAGAGAAAGAGAGAGAGAGAGAGAGAGAGAGAGAGAGAGAGAGAGAGAGAGAGAGAGAGAGAGAGAGAGAGAGAGAGAGAGAGAGTTGGGGGCGGGGGAGGATACGAGCGGTTTGTTGGTCCTTTTTCACATCATTTGTTCGTATAAGCTTTTTGTTGTGTGATAAGTGAGTCGGATTATCAGCTGTATGTTTATGTAGACTATTTATTTGTTTCTTTTGGGTTTGTTTTATTCATTCACGCCCTTCTTTTTTCATTGACCACCTGGCTCACTCACTCGCATATTGTACACTCTATTACTTTATCAATCGACCAACCAAACCAACCAACAAACCAACCAACGGACCAACCAACCAACAAACCAACCGACAAATCAATCAATAAGTCAATCAATAAGTCAGTCAATCAGTCAATCAGTCAATCAATCAATCAATCACTTCTCCCTTCAGGCGATGCGAGGAACAGTCGATTCAGATGCAACTGCAGCTTTTTGATGAGCACGAGCAACAAGACCAGGAGGAGATTCCCGCCACACGAGGCATCGACCTGGGAAACCCTCTAGACGTCTTCCACGCCATCCTCAGACAGGTAGGTCAACAAGGGTGAAAGGTCATGAGGCCAAGGGTTACGAGGTCGCCGTCTCGTGTAATTGCTGTTAAGTGCTTCCTCAGGAGTTTGATTCCCGTGTTTTATTCTTTAATCACTGCTGGATTCTTTAGCTATCCTTTTTTTCCTCTTTTCCATCTTTCTCTCTGCCTTTTTCAATGTCTGACCGTTTGCACCCCCCCTCTCTCTCTC